AACCCTTAGAACGGCCACCGCATCGCCATGCCGTAGTGCTTTCCTGTCCAGGCTCTGATCTGAGGCCGGGAAGCTGGGGGGACCCCGTTCACCGGGTGCAGAGGTGATCCATGGGGCCCTTCAGACCTCTCCCCAGGAGAGCTAGTACTTGAGCTCTCAGGGGATCGAGCCGTCTGCGGTGGGGGTGGACGCTCAAACCTTTGCTGAGAAGCAGAAACAGAGCTGCTGAACCATCACTTATCCTCACTTCCCGCTCCCAGTCCCACGTGCCAGGGCCATAGACGCCACGGTTCCGTCCACACTGCGCGAGAAAGGCGAGCACGCGGGAAATGAACGGCTCTTCTCAGACCCCTCCGAGAAGTGAGGCCACAGGGCAGACCTCTGTCCACACACCGGGAGACAAGCAGTGGACGCAGAGAGCCACAGCTGCCCAGAGTGCAAGCCCGAGAACAGGAAGCAGCGGGGGAACCCGCAGGGGTCAGGAAAGCCCTCGACGACACTGGACACGTCTGGGAGCTGAAAAGTCTCAATCCTGGGGGGGTTCTGAGACTTTAGCGAGTTTCCCCACCCCATCAGGTCTTCATGGTGAAGATCAGAAGAAAATACCTACCCCAGGCATGTCCATCGTGCAATGCTCTTGCAGTCTGTCCAGAGCGCTCCCCGGGGGGTGCCCTCCCGTACTGATCTGGCCTGCCCTTGTAACCACGGGGATGTTGTAGACATGGCAGGGTGGGGCTTCCGAGGGTCATACAGAGACCGTGCAGCCCTCCCTCTGCTCTCTTGGATGCTTCCTCCTAAGGGAAGCCAGCCACCCTGCCCCCACCCCGCCTGTGGGGAGGTCCCCCAGCTGGGGAGCGACATCTTGACAGAGACCCTCAAGCCAGAGCCGCCTGGCTAAATCATTCCCCAGTCCCTGACCTACAGAAACTGGGAGGTGACATGTGTGTTTCTGACGGAAGCCACGGCCTGTGGAAGCCACTGATCACACAGCAGTCGATGAGTCACACCCAGCCGGCCCCTTTTCCTAAGTGCCAGCACCAGTGTATCCCGCCAAGAGAACTTTCCACCCCAGCCTTGGTTTCGTCCTGTGTTGCCGAAGTCACACACGGCTTTTCCCAAACTGGTGTTTCAGGAAGGACAGGGTGGTAGGCTGTAAAAGAAAAACAAGTCAGCCTGCTCCCAGGGAGCTCTGCACGCAGCAGGGCTCACATCTCTTGGGTTCTTGGGCTGCGGTCTCAAACCCGCAAGGCAGGGCTCGATGGAGGACTGTTCTGTCTCTCGCGCTCTCTGTCCCTCTCTGGCTGTCTTTTGCAGTCCTGTCCAGTAAGGGTCCGAGGTCCCGTGGCTGCGTGACGGGAGGCCCTCAGAACTCAGCAAAGAGGCAGGAAGCAGCCCCGGGGCCGCAGGAAGGATCCCAGGAGGATACGGCAGCAGCAGGAAGAGACACTCGGCAGACAGGAAAAGGATGAGAAGACAGTGGTCTGGGTTCCCCAGGCATTCGACAGATGTTAAGAGAGTTCCCACCCCTCCGGGAGGCTGGTGTGGACCAGCAGCTTCCAGACTCGGAGGCTTCTCCTCCTAGGCCCCACCAGCCAGCTCCGGGGCTGAAGGTTCCCTCAGCCTCCTGTCTCATGCTGGGGCTCTGCTCTGCTTCTTTGCACGTATCTGCCCCAAGACCGAGTTGAAAACCCCTCAGAGCCGCTGGGGCCCCCCACCGTCCCTTCTTTGTGGGTTTTGTGCAGCTAGTCTGCGCCGGGAGTGAATCCGGACTTTGGAAGATAAAGAGAGGAGCAACCAGAAGCCAGCAGCCCAGCCTCACCCCACCCTCGGAGCAGCGCAGCCGGTAGAACTTTCTGCAATGATGGGAATGTGCTTTATCTGCAGCAATCAGCACAGCAGCCACGCAGCTGTCCAGATCCCGCACTGGAAACAGGGCCCATGCCCACTGAGGAACGGAAAGTTTCATTTTCCTTCATTTTAATTAGAATATACATAGACAGCCAGTCGTGGCTCGTGGCTTCTGAATTGGGCAGCCTGGTTCTTAATCCTTGATGGGGGTCTGTAAACACAAGCTCTGTAGAGTTGTTTTAATTTGTAAAAAGGTACTATTTACATACAGTAAAATTCACTTTTCTGAGTGTACAGTTTTGCTACTTTGGACAGATACACAGAGTCACACAGTCACCACCACCATCACCGCCCCACCCCCCCCGCCAAAAAAAAATTCCCACGTGTCATTTTATGCTCAGCCTCTCCCCAGCCCCCCAGCCCCCACTCACCTGCTTCCATTTCTCGAGTTGTACTTCGCCCAGAATGTCTTATAAGAGAAAGCACACGCAGTGCATTGGGGGGGTTCCTCCGTGTTGTTCCACACTTTGCTCCTTTTCCTGGGGCCGTGAAGCCCATCACGTGACTGTACGGCAGTTTGTTTACCCCTTTCCCGGCTGAGGTTCATCTGGGCGGTTGGGGTGTTTCCAGTGCTCGGTGGTGAGTATTTGTGTACAGGTCCTCGTGTCAACACAAGTTTTTGTTTCACTTGGGTTAAAGCCTAGCGATGGGACTGCCAGCCACTGGGTCGGTCTACTGACCCGCACGAGAACCTGCCAGACCGTTTTCTCAAACACCCGCTATGTCGGGGGCCTGCCGCCCCTCCTCGTTGGCAACGACGGATGGTTTCATCATTTCCTTTAAGTAATTTTAATAGGTGTCCAGTAATATCTTCCTGTCGTTTTAACTGGCTTCTAACAAACAATGAAGTTGAGTGTCTTTTCCTGTGCTTGTCTGTGATTGGTGTATCTTCTTGGAGAAATAATGTGTTCCCATGTTTTGTCTTTTCTTTTTTTTTTTTTTTTTTTCAATGAGCTCGTTCTCACTGCCTCTTTCCAACACAGCCTTAATGGTCACCTCCCAATTCGGCCTACTTGTCAATGGTTTAGTGCCTTGGAGTTAACTTCTGTTCCTTCCTGTTTCCGCAGCCAGCTCCAGAGGCTTCTAACAGGGTAAGAGCCTGCGTATCTTGGATCCCAAAGGTTGACAAGGCTCTCCCCGGCCAGCCATTCATTGCTCCTTTCTTGAGTGTGTGCTTTCTGGACCAGGTTCAGCATGCCCTCTAGACCAGGACAGAGCGAGAAGAACCCACTGTCTTCAGTGGTCCTTACTGGCCCTTTCCTTGTGCCCTCTGCTGACTCTGTCAGTATATCGAGCAGCTGGCTGTTGGAGGAAGAAATTGCAAAGGATGGGGTTCTGGACTTGGCAAGGTCACCCGGTGTCAGCCCTGTGAGTTCCTGGTGTTAGCACACGCAGGTTCTTGGTCCTCGGGAAAAGATTCCTATAGATTAGGTTGTGCATAAGTCTTCACGTGTCATAGTCCAGAAGGGCCTGGAGGTACACATGGACCACTTGTCCTCAAACAGACCTGGCATTAAAATGAAAGAAGTCCCCTCAGATGAGCCAGAAGAAAGAAACTTGGAGGTTGCGTGTAAATCCCTTGCTCTTAAAAATATAGATACCACTGTAAAATAGACCACGTGAATTTCACCGGCTTAACTATCTTAAGTGTATAGTTCGGTGGTGTTGAGTACAGTCACAGCACTGGGCAACCATCACCACCATTCAGCACCAAAACCTCTCTATCTTGCAAAACCCAAACTGTGTCCGCATTAGCTCTCTGTTCTCCACTGCTCCACCCAGCCCCTGAGGTCCACCCTTCCTATGCCCGTGTCTAAGACCTTGACCACTCTCGGGACAGGACGTGTCCTTCTGTGGCTGCGAGCTTCCTCCACGTGGTGTCAGTCGGCTTCCTTTTCAAGGCTGAGCTATATTCCCTTGCCTGTGTATCCCATGTGTGTCGACGGAACTTTGGCTCACGCCTTTGGGAGTTGTGAATAATGCTGCTCTGAATGTGGGTGTACAAATACCTTTTCAAGACCCCGCTTTATACCTAGAAGTCTCATTACTGGATCGTGTGGTCACTTTATGTTTAATGTTTTGAAGAAGGGCCATCCTGTTTTCTCGAGTGACAGCCCCATTCTACCTCCTTAACACCAGTGTGTTTCTAAATGCCTTTGGGTGACATAAGCATTGCCCGAATCCCCCAACGTCTGTCCACCTCACTCCTCCAACACCCCCTTGCCTGGGCCACCAGCTTCCCAACCGGCCACCCACGGTCACTGACCCCTTTCTGATCCAGACTCCACATACCAGCTGGTGGGCCTGCCAATAACCCTCACTGGTTTCCGTGGCTAGTGGAACAAGACCTAAATCCGGACATGACCCAAATGGCCCTAATCGGGTTCAGCTGACCTGGTCACTCTCGCTTCCATCCCCAGGCACCCGTCAATCCCCCCGAAGAGGTGCCACGCTCCCTTCCTTAACATGTACTGTTGCATGGCTGGAATGCCATTCCCCAGACCCCCAGCCCCTCTCCCCACAGATCAACCTTGGACTTGCGTCATTCCTTAGGGACGAGATCCCTGACCCCGTTTTTTACTGTCCTCCTCCCTCTGTCAAGTAGGTTCTCTTGTTACAGCTTTTCATAAAAATATGTTCCTTGACCAACACCCCCCCCC